TGCAAAAAAGAAATAAGATAGCGGGGGTTTTTAACCCCCACTAAGTGCAACAGCGAAAAATAGCGAATAGGAATTGGGGCCATATAAAAAAGGCGTGATGGGTCTATTAGATTCGTCTTGTCCTTCTCAATTCAACCATGGTTGTCTGGAGTTCCAATTTTACAGTATGGGGAAATCCCCAATTTGAAGCTTGAAAAAACCTAAAATGCTTTAATGGTGAATCATGATTTAACACGTTAGAATGCAATTGGATTATCCTATTAGCTTCAGAAATCCCCTAGCAATACAAAACAATAAAAAAAATGGATCAAATGCTTATGAAATGTGATATACAGTTTTGAGAAATGAAGCAAACCGAATGAGTTATATGGCACGATTTCTTGAGGTTCTTGACTCGTTTCTGATTGCTAAAGGTTCCTAGGGATCCTAGGAATGTGTTTTGATTGAAATGGAGGTTTAAAACGTGCTGCAAGGTGGTTTTCAGATTTGCTTTTATCTCTTCAAAATTTCAAATGTGTTTGGCCGTTTTGGAGCTTTTTAGGTCGTGAATCCTCTTGTGATAGCTTGCACACATGTTATGTAAAGAGTTTCAATCAGAATTAAGAGCCTTGAAGCCTTGCATTCATGTTTGAGATTATGCCATGAACTCCATTGAAACACTTTCCATTTTTGTGTCAAAATTTGAATTCTTGCTTGGAATAGCCCCTTGCACGAATTTGGAATGTGCATGATGGTGTATCAAAGCATTTCAATACAAAATATATCCCCTAATTAATTTCTTTGATTTTTATTTGATTTTAAAAGATTTAAAATGAATTAAATCAAATAAAATTAAATAAAAATGGAAAAATTAATTTTAAATCTTGAAATAATTTGTGGGACACGTGGGAAGCATGGCCAAGCTGAAACAAGTGGAAAAAGTGGGTCCCTTTTGTCAAAAATGAAATTTCAAGGATAATTGACTTTGGCCATTTCACAAAAATTTCCCAACTTCTCCAATGCATATCTTGCTCAATTTTGAAGCTATGAACATGTTCTTGGACATTTTGGAAAGGTCTTGAAGTCCTCTAACCAATGTCTTTGGTCCCATGTCATTTTGATTTACCAATCTCAAGTTATGGTCTTTGACTTAAAGTGTCCTTTTGTTGACTTTTGAAAATGACCTATAATGTTGAAATTGATAACTTTTTGTGAGAGCATTTCTTGGACTTGGAATGTGAAGATGAGTTGTAGGAAATGTATTCCTCTTCAAGATGAGCTTTGGATGAGATTTTTCTGATAAACCATGAAGAAGTTATGCCCTGGTCAATTTGCAGTTGACTTTTTCAACTGTCCAAAAATAGAAACTTTTGCATCTTGAGACTTTTTGAGTCATGCTTGAGGAATCATGATCAAGAATTGATCAAATGATGATTGTGGCTTCAAAATAAGATGTTGACCAAATTTTTTGTCTTTTGACTGCCAAATGACCATTTTGCCCCTACAGTTGACTGCAGAGCAATTAGGGTTTTTGACTGTGCAACTTGACCTTGTGAGCCTTGAAACTTGACATGTAGATGCTTGACAATGTGTATAGGCATATGTGACTTGATTGAGCTCTTGAAAACCTCAACTTCTTTGCAAGAACCAAAACCCTAATTTGACTGACTTAGGAGGATGGTTTGACTGTGTAGCCCTTGAGTAAACTTTGAGCCATTTGAGGTGATGCTTGGCAAAACCTTGAAGATTATGGGAGGGCAAATTTTGGCGTACAACAATACCCTTTCTCTTCGATGATTTTTATTCGCCTTAGCTTTCTTAGCCTTAAGGCGTTCCACCTGTCGAACTCTATCGGCCAATTGGGCCATATCTCTCAGGTATTAGGTATCTAATTTCTTCCTAATGGAATAATATAGGCCTCCTGTAGCCATTTCAATCAACTCATGTTCAGACACTTGTGTAAAGCATCTGGCTTTGAGTAGTCAGAATCTGTTCAGACACTCATCGATTGGCTCAATGAATCTCCTCTTCACACTAGCCAGTTCTTTCAAACTTATTTTGGTCTGTCCCAAATAGAACTGTTCATGGAACAATCTTTCCAACTGATTCCAATTGTGGATCGAATTAGCTGGGAGTGTGGTAAACTAAGTGAAGGCATTTTTGGTTAAGGAACTTGGGAAATACTTAATCCTAAGATTCTCATTATTTGAGATTTCCCCAGCCTCTATCAAATACCTTTCCACATGTTCGACAGTGGACTCTGTCGTATCCCCTGAAAACTTGGTGAACTTTGGAACTTTCCACCTAGGGGGTAAATCTGATTGCAAGATATAATCTGACAATGGAGATGTAAAGTTTGACCTATGAAAGCCAATGTTTACTCCATTCTATGCCATGATTCTTTCGACCATGGCTGTCAAGTTATTATATGCTGCGTAGCTGTGGTGTCGAACCTGCTGTACTACTTCATCAGCATTTTGGTTTCTTTTTACCATAACTATACCTTGTTCGATAGCTCTTGGGATTTGTGGAGAAACTCTGGGTACTTCGACCCTAGGTTGTTCGACCTCTACTCTATGGTTCATCCCATCTGGCTGCGGATTCTGGTTAATGGTCATGTCATCCTATAAAACCACACCCTAATTTCCTCTTATCAACTCTCTTTAGGGGTGTCGAATAGGTTGAGAAACCCCTAAAAATTAGGCCATGCGCGTCATTTGCACTGCCATTTACTGATTCGAATGAGTGGTATTTTATATCAGAAGGTTAAGTACTGTACTCAAGGTTTGTGCCAACATATGCACCATGTCATGGTTACTCTCATCTATTTGTTGCCTCAAAATTGCTGTAGAAGCATTTATGAGACTTGGCATTGTATGGGACGTTCTTCCTAAGATTTGGTTTCTACCCAGATTTTCCATACCAGTTCCAAATCCTTGTAATTGTGAAGATGCACTAACCAAAGATTCTGAAAATGTGGATGAAGCATTCATAAGGCTTTCCATTTCAGCAGTTGACATGCCATAAGGTTGGTCTCGACCCATCCAGGCTGTCGAAAAGACATAAGGTCGAGCACCTAGATTTCCCCTTGGTTGGGGTGTTCCTAGTGGACCCCTAGGACCTATATAAGAAAGTATTGGTCCTGTTTGTGTAAGCGTCACTGCTGGTGTCGAACCAACTATTGTTGACATTGTTTCACTAACTGTTGTCATAACCGTAGTTCCATTGTCAGGAATTGGTGGAGGCATTTCTCCACTAGACTGATTAGTCATTCTCCTATTTCTTCTCTTGAGTATATATTCGTTTGTGGTTGTTTTGACACTTCTCAATAACATACAACACTCTTTGAGAAAAAAGAAATTAATTAAAGCATTTATGATAAAAATTGTTTTTATCAATTTGTAAAAAAAAAACAAGAAAACTTAGCAACGTCCTACTGGGCGTGACAATTTATTTACCGTGAAAATTGAAAAACGGCCGCTGATCTTCCAAAAAATATTATTTTGGTTACTTGCAGGATCGATCAGTTTGATCCTATAGAACATATGCTAAGTGTTTCGTGAGTTCGAATAGATTTTAAATGAAAGGGTTCGACAGAATACTAAAAGTGAAGGTAAGATGAAGATAGAACTTGGTAAATATGCAGTAAAGGCAAGATGAAGGTAAAAAAACTTGATAAAATTACAAGTAAAATTATAAATAAAGTGCAAGATAAAGTAAAGTTACAATAATTTAAAAGGGCTGTAATGGTAAAGTTTACAGAATGTTAAATGGTAAGGATTATAAAGAAATGTAAAGATTTGACTGTAATTAAAATATGGTGATTCAAACGTACATTCTCAAAATTCTTTCTCACACAGCAGATATTTGAATAAATTTGAGTGACTTATGCTAATGAGTTGAACACCCAGAATTTTACACAAATTTCCTATATTTTTAGGAGTAGTAAATAATCGTTGAACGATTGCTTTGATCTAAAAGAAAGACAAGTGTCTTCTGCATATTCTTCGATTCTTCGATTTCTATCTTCATGCCACGTTACTTTTCTTAACTATCAAGTAAACTGCTTTCCCCCTTTCTTCGAATTCAAATCCACTTGCTTGCTGATACAAAAACTTTTCAATCAAAGACCGCAAGAACCTCTTGATCGATCGAAGACTACCTTTAACTTAAATTCTCTAAGTATTTTCTCCTTCTTAACAAAAAAGACTTCGACACCATCCTTTTTATAGACTCTTCTGTCGAAATATTATCTTTTAACTTAGATTTCTTCAATTTATTTTTAACTAATAAAACCAATATATATAGATGTCGAATTTAAGAACTAACATCATCAATACTCTGAGGCAACACAGAAGCATCGGGAGAGTGCAAGGTTAACTCAAGCATCGGGAGAGTGCAAGGTTAACTCATAATCTGATGTATTTTAGTTATCGACACACACACACACATATATATATATATATATATATATATATATATATATATATATATATATATATATATATATATATATATAATGAAACTTTTTGGTGTAATAAGAAATGTCCTATTATATTTGGCATTAAAAAAAAACAGCTTTGGGATGTAGCAATAGATAACTTGGTTCGGGTCATATTATTATTAAAAAAAAAACAGCTTTGGGATGTAGCAATAGATAACTTGGTTCGGGTCATATTATTGTTTTTTTTTTTTTCGTACTATTTCGTTTGTTTTTGCCAAATTATTGGTTTTTTTTGACATCCCTCATCTATAATAAAAAAATTTGGTCTTTCTTAGAAATAGCTAGAAACTCAAACAAGAAAAGACTATTTGAGGAGTATGATTTTGCAGTTTTGAGAAGCTGTATGGAAATACAAATTCTTTCCAAAAGTTGTCAAGGTGTGGCTGTCTTTAGTGGGTGACACTTGTTGTGTTGTTATTAATAACATATCAGAAAATTAAACTAGTCATTTAGTACAACACACAAACTACATAAACTAGGAGATCACCCAGATTAATTTACATATATAGATATAAGTTCAGTGGTTGTTATGGTTGTGGTGGCCAGGCAATTTATCTTTGATCTTCTCGAGTATACCCTTCTTCTCATGATGACTTGCCTCAGCTGGATGGGGGTTGGTACCACCTTCTGTTGGAACTTTTGAATTATGCTCGTCCTTGCTTTCTCTTCCTCCTCCTCCTGGCAGCTTGTCCTTTATCTTATCCTTCACTCCCTTCTTCTTCCTCCTCCCACCTTCTCCATCATCCTCTGACTGTTTTTATTTAAAAACCAAAAAAAAAAAAACCTATTATCGGTATCGGTAGTAAGATATATATTTAGAGAGAAAATATTATACATACTGAGCTAGAGCTTGAACTTGAACTCGAACTGGTGGAGCGATGGAGTCCTCTTCCTGAAGCCTGATCGGCGTGATGGACATGCTGTCTGGCTGGTTCGGTGGAAATTAGATCTGCCACTGTTGTTTTAGTGTGTGTAGTTGCACCACCACCGTAAGCACCAGTACCGTAAGTTCCAAAACCAGAACCTGCAGTGGTGGCCGTACCGGAAGTTCCAAAACCAGAACCTGCAGTGGTGGCCGTACCGGAAGCTGTAGTGGGATTATTAAGAGCAGTGGTGGCGGTGGTTACTACACCGGTAAGGTGGATAGGATTGCCATGTTCGTCAGTTAACTTAACAGGGTTACCGAGTTCATCAGTTAGTTGGATTGGGTTTCCAAATTCGTCTCTTATTTCAACTCCAGCCATTCTCTGCACAAAGTATGTTAGAGCATTTGTTGTTATAGTTAGCTTCTTATATAAAAGCAAAAGAAACTATTGACGGCGTGGGATACATTATGCATGTAACTTTGTGCCAACACGTGTAGCTGGTTAACACACCCGTTGCCGCGTAACATGCATGAGGACACATGTTCACATGCAAGGTTCTACTCTATCTTATCCTCTATAGATTAGATGCGCATCCGTTACTTACATGTGTCAAATAGCCTGTTCGTATGTACTGAGCTGACACATGTGTTATTTTGGATTTGTATCCTCTCATATTCTTTTTTTTTGGCAAAAGCTAATTGCATTAAAAATAAAATAAAAACAGGCTAAACAAAGTACAAGCAAGTACTTTGTCAAGATACACCACACTCTAAAACTATACAAAAACAGAACCAAGAAAAGAATCATCACACTCCAAAGCTACAAAACGAAAAACAAAGTAGAAAGGCTAAACTTATAAAATGAACAAAACCACTACTACCGAGACGAAATTGGACTATAAACAGCAGTCAAAATACCAACAACAAAAAAAAAGTGATAGGATTTCAATGCTTTGAATAATTTGTGGTTTTGTTTTGTTTTTCCTATTTTGGCATTTAGCCATTTTTGTTTCTAGAATGATGAAATGTCTGTATTTGTTAGATATTTTTTATGGATTGGTTGTCTTTTAATTAGAGGTGGTAAATAGATATGTTCATCTTGTTTAAATCTGTCTAACAAAAGTTTTTAAAAAAGAGATTTAAAATCTTGCTTCGTCCTGCACTAAAAGTGAGGGCGGGACGGACTCACGGACACTGCTTTTTTTAGGTCTAAAAATAGAAAAATTCATGTAAGTTCATATGTCTGCAAAAATCTGTAAAAAAAAAGGGACGGGACGGGGCAGACGCACGCAGTTTTAAGTTCTTGGTCCGCTCTATACTAAATGCGAATAAAACACACATGTTCAACGAAACAGATTCGTTTTGTCACCCCTACTTATAACCAACTTGTCCATATATAACAATTGAGACAATATATAGGAAATTATCCATTATTAATCAAATACTTCATCCACAAAACTTCAATTTTTCTTAAATGTCATTCTACATCATCATATAATATTTTAGAATATTGCTATCTCTCGTATAAGATTAGGATATTAACAGTTTCTCCCTAATATTCAAAGATTAGCATCAATTTGTATTAATTCGGTGACATGAAGTCGTCTATGTCACATTCTCTAGACGAATTCGAATGACGCTTCCACAGTCGTCTTACTCAACTGCAACTTTAGCATAATGTTGATATGGACGAGATAGGTGCGCTGCTGCAAGCTCAGGGCTCTCCGACATCCAACGATGGGCAAGGTTCTAACGATTCTTGCAACAATGACCAAATGTTTATGCCACAAGAATTTCCAAAATGGAATTTCCTCGTTTTGACGGAATGAATGTTCACTTCCATTCACTTTGATGGGCTAGCATTACAATAACACTTCAACTATATGCGACACAAATTCGATATCTATCCCTTTTAGCAACAATGTACACTAACGCCGCTGCTCACTTTGGAGATATGTATGAAGATCCCCTTTCATCATTTCTCTAAGTAAAACACACTAGCAATGTATAAAATTATATGGATCAATTTGAACTAGCTTTAACACAAGTTACATTGATTCATAAACACTCCCTCATTATTTTTTTAGCTAGTGTTAATCACCATACTCATATGCACATTTATATGTTTAACCTTTATTCCATTGTTTACGTTGCGAATTTAACCAAGCTTCACAACCTTCTTCACAAAGAATCAACTCACGATTTATATTTTTCCCAAAAATCAAGGTACATTTAACAAACCTACCACTTTTCTTTCACCAGCTACACCATCAACCTTGAATATCAACACAAACTTCCAATCGTCCTACTCACACTTATTTGCAATTGAGATGGTTGAGCATAGATAAAGGGATCGTGCATGTTTTGTGATGATCAATTTACACATGGTCATCAATTCAAACAAAAACGATCCTAACTCATTGTGTTGGATATTGATGATGATGATTCACCTGGTGATGCACCCAAAACTTAATAAAGCGTGGCTAAAATTTAATCCCTTCAAGCTTTTGAAAACCCTCAATTATCCCTCCAAACTTTGATAGGTATCGTGAATTTCAGACTATACGAGTTACTAATTTACATGGCAAGAAGTTACTCCATATTTTGCTTGATAGTAGTAGTACAAAGAATCTCTTGGATTTAGAAATCGCTAATTTCTTGGATTTAAAGCCGACTCTTCCAGTGGGGGCCAAAAAAGAGGATATGCAGGTCCTTTGACGACTGCGTGATCCCGCTCTATAAGTGATTTTCACAAGAATAAGATTGTGGTTACCTTTTTCTGACTTTGAAGTGATCGTCCTAAAGCACTTAATAATTTCCCCCTCCCAACTCCATCTGGTTTACATTAGTAAATTTCAACGGTGTATTGAATAAGTCTCGGAAGCCTTCCATTGGGTTATTCTTCAATCTGTTCCATTTGATACATCCCTCCCAGGATAATTTCTGGGACCAATGGCTTATTAGCCTTTATCCTAACAATCCTTATTTCGACCTCTTCGCTCTAAAATGGGGCGACTTTCTAGAGAACTTCTTGCTAGTAAAACACCTCACACCCCCGGTCCATCTCGCCTTTTTCTACCTTCGTGTTGATTATCCTCTCTTATGTTGGGGTTTCTTCCTAACGTATTGATCTCCTATTCACTTTAGCTAGGACATCCACTCGTACCTAACCAGGCTGACTCCTGTTTCACCCCGAGGAGGAGGCGATGAAGGAAGACTTGCATTTATAGTTCCAGGGGTTAGGCTATGAGGAAGAGTTCGATTCCAGAGTGGTGTTCCCTACCAATATGAGAAAAAGTAGAATTGATACTTATGTCATTGTGAGGGTAGTCAGCCAGGAGGAGAGGAAAGAGATATTTGGTGAGAGTCGAGTCTTAGTGGGTTTTTCTTTTTACATGTGTGATTGCGTTTTGCAGGTAACATGGAAAAAAGGACAAGCTAAAGATGTTCTACGACCATGTAGGTGCTCAAGGTATTCAATCCTTTGTGTCTCTTTTGTCGACCAGTACTCTTGCTATGACGCCTATTTTATCTCTGCTATCAGGACTTCTACTTCTGCTCCCGAGGTAGATTAACTTGTGGAAAATGCAGTCACTTTGACTGTGGGGGAGTCATCCTTACCTCTAGTTTCTACAAAGAGGTAGAGGGCTAAATGTTAAGATCAACGATCCTACCAGGAAGAGGGTTATCATAAACAAACTTATTTCATTGGGGATGATTCCACATGGGAGGTAACTCCCTTCATGCGGATGCTAGATGTCTTCTCTTCCCGACTTGCTCGTAATCTTGAAGAGGTTGTCGTTCCTTTATCGGGTCATATTTATCCTTCTTTCAAAATCTCTCTGAGGGGGATAAAATGTAACTCGTCTCTAAGATTACTCATAGTATATATCAGGCTACTTCTCTATTTCCCTTGTTTCATCTGGCAGAGGAAACATCTTGGCTCCAGGAAATCTCACCAAGAAAACAAACACTTAGAAAGGGAAATGAATGAAGCTATGGAACTCAGGTGCTATACTCTCTAGGAAGAGCTTGATGTACTGCATGAGAAGGTCAAGGTTATCGACTCTTTGCAAGAGAAGAAAAAAATATATAGATTCCCTTCTACTATGGTTGCTCGGGTAACTGATTTGGAAGGTACCTTCAAAGTGGTGGAGAAGCAGTATCATGATTCTTCTGATGTTGTTAAGGAGAAGACTCTTTAGGATAAGGAGCATCGGAAAAATCTTTTTTAGGAAGTCATGGCTAATATCGAGACCTTGAAAGCTCTTAAAGACGAGGTGGCCCATCTGAGGCAGGTGCTTCATGATTCCCTTCAGCGGACTATGCATGTCTTATTCAGGGTTTTTGACCAAGTCATGGAGCATGCGAGGAATTTCTTTCCTACTGCCATAATTTTAGCTGAGGTGCTGAACCCATTTCACATTGTTCCTAGGGTGACTTGAGAGGGTGATCCTGGTACCTCGACTCCAAAAGCTTTAGTTTGATTTTTTTTCTTTTTCCTTTGTATTATTTTATTTCCTGAAATGCTTCCAAGAATTTTTCTCCTTATTAATATTTATGAAAATGCTTTTACCTCAATGATTTTGGTATTATTTAGCTTTGAGCTCTGCACTTGGCTCCATTTTAATTTTTTGTTAAGTTGTTTGTCAGGTTATTTGTGAATTTTCATAACTCTAGTGCTTGCATGTTATTCACACAATGAAAATTTTATCTATTTTGGCAACACCGGAGACGTTCATTAGGGTAGTTTTAAGTTTGTTCCACACCATCTACGAATTGGTGCCTACTTTACGAAGAGAAAAAAGAAGAGAAAAAAAGAGTTTCATTGCCACACAATGGCATATGTGTTCTTCGAGCTTTTATGCTTCGTGATTTGCGACTTTGTATAATGGATGGTGTTAGCTACCATTTTGGATCACTTTGTTTGCTTATTATATTTAGCAAATTTCTCGTGTTTCTGGGGTGAGGTTTGGGACTGACGAGACCAGAATGATGTGGTTAAATTTTTGTAATGTGCTTCGCGCAATAGAGGACCATTCGTCAATCAATGGTATGATCCTCATCTTTGCCCCTAAGGCTTAGCTCGGATCAAGGTGGACATTTGTGGGCTCCATCACCTACACCCTTGGGTTGACTATATCCAAAAAATGGGGGTGTGTCAGCTACCTAGAAATCCGTTTAGTGTGTATCACAAAGGCAGAAATACATTTAGTTTGTATCATATGCTCATAAATCATGTTAGGATTGTGTTTAAGTTGTATCAGAATCATGAATGTGTTTAGTTTATACCGGATATGCATAAATCATGCAACGAATATGTTTAAGACGTATCAAATATGGATAAATGTGTTTAGTCTGTATCGGGTACATAGAAAG